CGATTCTGGAGGGACCCTCTGGGCTCAGAATGTCCACCATTGGGTCCTCCTGCTCAACCGTCTCCTCTGCTTGTAGACCCAAATTGAGGGCCACCCGGCGGAGCAGGTCCTGGTGCGCCCGGTGGTCAATAGGGGGAGGGCCGGATACTGTCGTGCCCGCCACGGCCTCGTCCGGCGAGGAGGAGGAGGTCATGGCTTTTTGAGCGTCCTCGTCCTCCTGTAGCTCCTCCTCAGCGGGGCGGCCCTCCGGGGTGCGCCCCCTTTCCCGAGTCAGGGACGGTGCTGAGCTCGGTGCCGAGTCCGCCCTCTCTGCGTCCGGTGGTCTGGAGACCGTGGCCTCCGCACGGGAGGTAGGGCGGCACCGTGGGGAGCGGGACCGGTCTCCTGAGGGGCCCGATCGCGAGGTTCTAGACGGAGGGCCTTGCTGATGATAGGCCCACGGCGTCCAGAACGGCCACTGTCCAGGATGACTCCAATGCGGCTGTCAAGAAGCCTCGTGCTCTCTAGCGGCATGCCCTCTGCGGCCATATCTGGAAAGACCCGAGCCCTCTTCCGACGCTAGAGACGGTGACCTAGAGGGCCACGGCGGTGCCGTGGGGCGGTGCCGGTCCGGTGTCGGGGAGCGGTGCCGTCGGGACCGGGACCGTGAGTAGCGGCGCGCCGATCTGGACCTGGAACGGTACCGTTGACCGCGGGACCGGGAGCGGCTGCGGGAGGATGGCCTTGGGAGCCTCGCCATCGAAGCATCCCGGCGCCTGCTCGAGCCGGGTTGCTGGGGCGGTGCCACGCTCGCATTGGGCCCTGACTGTTTCGTGGCCCGTTGTGCGGCGGGAAGCCGGGAGTCCACCGAGGCGGAGCTCGACCGGGACCGGCGCCGTGAACGGTGCCGAGATGGCGACCGCGACGGGAGCATCAATCGCCGGTTTGCCCTTGGATGGCAGTCGCGGCGGAATGTCTGTAGCGCGGAGTGTGCTCTCGGAGGACAATTCAATGAGGTCCTTTGCCGCCTCAAATGTGTCCGGGGTGGAGGGCTGTTCCAACAGTTCCTCCAGCCCGTCCTCTGCACTCGACGCGCTCGTCCCGGGGCTCGACGGGCCCTTCGGCGCCGGAGCCACTGGTGCCGGGACCTGTACCGGGGCCGTCACGGCCTTGGCCGCACTTGCGGGCTTCGCCGGTGCCGCCTTCTTATGTGGGGAGCGCCCCCGGGCCTTAGGCTGGCCCTTCGACTTGGCCGGCGAGGAAGATCGATGCCGGACGTGTTCTCGTCTTGGCGGTGCCGTGGGCTTAGTCTGCGCTGCCGGTGTCGGGTCGCGGACCGATGCTGGGGCACTCCGCACCGAAGCGGACGGTGCCGCGGAAGAGGAGGGCTGTAACGCCGCCTCCATGAGGAGCTGTCTAAGGCGAAATTCCCTCTCTTTTTTGGTTCTGGGCTTGAAGGCCTTACAAATTTTACAGCGCTCCTTCTGGTGAGCTTCCCCGAGGCAACGGAGACACGACTCGTGCGGGTCGCTCACTGGCATAGGCCTGCGGCACGCGGCACACGCCTTAAAGCCTTGGGCGTGCGGCATGCCCCGCCGCCCAGGGCCGGTGCCGGGGTTGACCAAACCCCTATCACCAAGAGATTTTTGGTCCTTAGAAGAACTAAACAACTACTTAACACTAAAAACTCTTAACTGTATTATGAACTGCTAACTACTGCTAATGGCTATGCTAAGGGACACTCTCAGGCGAGAGACAGAGTTGTTCCAACGTCGCCACGGGCGGTAAGAAGGAACTGAGGGAGGGTCAGGCCGGCAGGGATATATATACGCGAGGGCGGGGCGCCGCTCTGGCGGGAAGGGGGACCCTGCGGGCCCGACGGGAGCCGCTGAGGGAAAAAGTTTCCGACGATTCGTGCACGCAGCGCGCGCACACCTAATGTGGAATGGACGTGAACAAGCACTCGAAGAAGAACCTATGTTCTCTGATAAAGATGATTAAAAAAAATAGTAACGAACTGTTTCAGCTGAGTATAATATTGAGACTGCTTTTCCTTATATTGCGAAGTGTAGATGCCTAATAACCATAAAGTGGTATGAGAGTTTCAATGTATGAAATAACTCATCAGTTTTAGAGCTGACCAGATCCCTCCAAAGGTGAGGTCTTCCAGCATAGTTTGAACCTCCTTTGGCAACCCAGAAAACTGGAGCCATGACACACACCATGTAGTAATTGGTGCTCTCTTGATGCTGTATAAGCAGCATAAATGGAAGCTTGTAGGGAGGCTTTTTAGCTATTAACTATGTAGATAGTCAGTCACTTTAATTCAAATAAGATGATAATCTGACAGAAAAACCTGATAATTCACTATGCAAAGTTGAAGGCTAGCTGATCATTTCCTAAAAAGTCCAATCTTCTTACTACCTTCTCCTTTGGAGTAACTATAAAAGACTGATATTTCAACTTCTTTTGTGCTGCAGTCACATCTAAGTGACATCCTGGAGCAGGATGTGTATAGGAATATTTAAAACCTGTTGACAGGAACTGATACCTTTTTTCAAATTCCTAGAGGTTGGTGGTATAGATTCCGGAGTGTGCCATAAAAGCTGGGCTAATTCTAATAGGTCTTCATTTATAAGTAAGGCAAGCCTCTCTGCTAGAGACATGAAAAGTGTCCAATAATTAGGGCCCTACAAATTCACAGCCATAGAAAAAGCGTCACGGACTGTGAAATTTGGCCTCTCCCCATGAAAACTGGTCTTTTGTGTGCTTTTACCCTATACTATACAGATTTTACAGGGAAGACCAGCTTTTCTCAAATTGGGGGTCCTGACCCAAAACAGAGTTGCAGGGGAGTCGTGGTAGTGTCACCCTTACGTATGTGCTACCTTCATAGCTGGGTGACTGGAGAGTGGTGGCTGCTGACTGAGGGCCCAGCTCCGCAGGCAGCAGCGCAGAAGTAAGGGTGGAAATACCCCATACTATGCCATCCTTACTTCTGCGCTGCTGATGATGGTGGCTCTGCCTTCGGAGCTGGGCTCCCAGCCAGCAGCTGCCACTCTCCAGCTGCCCAGCTCTGAAGGCAGCACTGTCGCCAGCAGCAGTGCAGAAGTAAGGGTAGCAGTACTGCGACCCCAGGCCCTCCCCCCCCGCCCCCAACTCATTTTTGGGTCAGGGCCCCTACAATCACAACACCGTGAAATTTCAGATTTAAATAGATGAAATTTACAATTTGTAAAATTCTATGACTGTGAAATTGACCAAAATGGACCGTGAATTTGGTCGGGCCCTACCAATAATGTGTTCTTTTTCTTGAACAGTCTGAGCTGGTATCTCTCCAAAGCTTCTGCCATTCTGCAGACCAATTCTTGAAATGACTTATAATCATCTAATGAAGATGCCTGAGGAGGAGTCAGCCTCATTCTGTGAAGAAGATGGAATATGCTCTGGGAATGTTTCAGACACTTGTTGCTGAAATATATGTTCATGCAGAAACTGATGAAGAAAAAAGAGTCTGGTTCAAAACAATACTTACAGATTGCTGTGATTGCTTTTGCATGACAGGCAGATCTGGGGGTGAAGGAGATTTAACCCTGGAAACTGAAGCTGGGGAATATTTTGATTTAGGATAAGGCCACGGGGCCAGCGAGGCCAAGCAGTCTGTCCATATGGATAAAATGAGAGTGGCGAGGATGGAGGAGTACCAACTAGGGTCTTTGAACTAACATGCCTATATATTCCCATGCCTGACCTGACTCGCAAACATATATGGGTCATAGAAAGGTACCACCTAAAAGGTAAGAGAGTGAAACATCCCCACTATCAGAAGACGAATACCCATCCTTCTGTAAGGTGGGAGGCTGCTCCTGAGGTGCTCAGAGAATTACTCATTGAAAGGGCTTACCAAAACTACCACTCTTAGAAAGGATACCAACTGACAAAAACATCTAATACGACTGCATGGAAACAGCCAAAACACTGTGTACTTTGTACATTCTGTTTGCGTATAAAATATAATAGAGTCATGCCCAAGCTTCTACTAATTTCTAGTTATGTGATCCATTCCTCTATCTGTTTGAACATTGGATGGAACACTGAGGAACACATTTGATGACCGGCAACCTTGGATTGTCACATACTATTTTGTAGAAGAGTGTACACTGAAAAAGAACAAACAGGTTTTTGCATTTAGAAAAAATGTTTAAGAGTCATACAATGCACCTGCACTCAGTTTTTGTCTTTGAAGTGTCCCATCAGAAAACTAGCCAGACCCAACCTATTTAGCTGTTAAAAACAATGAGATCAAACATGTCCAGACTATCATACCTTCTCCTCCCATCATCTACTTCCTCTTAAAATCACAAGGTGAACAACAAATTAATCCCCTTTTTTTGGGAGCGATGACAGTGTGGAGGGTGACGAGATACCCCTAACAAAAAATAAAGCATTCTTATAAAGTGTTGCAGTATTTCCAATCACCACATTTGAAAAAATAAGTATGGGAAATCTCCATGACAAAAGTGTATTTGAAATGAAATTACTGGAACACAAGTAGTAATAAGAAATCTCTTATATGTCTGACGTTATTTTCCAGATGCAGTCGTCAGTAAAAATACTTGATGAGAATAGCTTTATACTGACCTAGTCACAACACACCACTTAGGCAATGAAGTTACTATAGTCGTTCCTTGCCACTTCTTCTGCCTAAAGTCTTCAAGCAAGCTATAGCATTTTATTCACATGCTCTTGTTTCTCAAGTGATGGTGCTATTCAAACACCAGTAAATTTAAAAAGCAAGCATGTGAGCAAAAGCAGTGTAGAAAATAAGTGTATATCTGCCAGTGGATATATATTACCTGAACACAATCCCACACTGATCCTAGAACAAAAAGTAAAGGCTGGAACAGCAGTAATAAGAACAGAAACACATGCTTCTAACAAGGTAATTCTGGGTAACAAACCCTACACTGGGAAGTACAAACAGTTGAAATTTATAAAAATAAGTTTTAGAAATAGCTTACTTGTGAGAAGTTCTCTTCTTCATCATGCTGGCAGACACTCCTGCATGCCCTGTAACAGAGAAAGCAGCACATAAATGACTGAGAAATGAACAGATTATGTTCATGCAGAGTGCTAAGAAAGGCTGCTGTTTTGAATGCCAAGATATAGATGAAGTGCTGCAATTCTATGGGAGTTAAATATCTAACAATAAAAAACAAGAATGTAAGTATCCTGAGTTAAAATCCTAGAATTAATACACTTCTGGAGCTAAACTGGAGCTAAAGTGTATGAAATACACTTTTAACTTCTACTCAGATGTCAGATTAAAACAGATAGTGGTTGTGGTCAAGACCTGTATGTTCAAATTCCAAACACAACAATGGTGGGGAGATTCCCACACCGGAGCCATTCTTTTAAGTGACAAATCTGAGGAACTGTCCCAGAATAAGGTGTCAAGAGAAGTAGTTTTGGAACAAACTGATAACTTTAACAGTAATAAGCCACTAGGACCAGATGGTATTCACCTAAGTGTTCTGAAGGAACTCAAATATGAAATTGCAGAACTACTAGCCATGGTATGTAACCTATCACTTAAATCAGCTTCTGTACCAGACGACTGGAAGATAGCTAATGTGACACCAGAAGTCATCTTAGCAATTGCAGGCCAGTAAGCCTACCTTCAGTACCAGGCAAGTTGGTTGAAACTATAGTACAGGACAGAATTATCAGACACCTAGATGAACACGATTAGATGGGGAAGAGTCAACACAGCTTTTGTAAAGAGAAATCATGCCTCACTAATCTATTAGAATTCTTTGAGTGGGTCACCAAACATGTGGACAAGGGTGATCCAGTGGATATAGTGTACCTGGATTATCAGAAAGCCTCTGACAAGTACACTAAGCAGCCATGGGACAACAGGGAAGGTCCTCTAATAGATCAGTAACTGGTTAAAAAGACAGAAAATAAAGTAGGAATAAATGGCCAGTTTTCAGAGAGGTAAATAGTAGAGTCCACCAGGGATCTGTACTGGGACCAATGCTGTTCAACGTCTTCAAAAATGATCTGAAAAAAAGGGGTAAACAGTGAGGTGGCAAAGTTTGCAGATACAAAATTACTCAAGATAGCTAAGCCCAAAGCAGACTGCAAAGAGTTTCAAAGGGATTTCATGAAACTAGGTGACTGGACAACAAAACGGCAGATGAAATTCAGTGTTGATAAATGCAGAATACTACACATTGGAAAACAATTGCCACTATACATACAAAGTGATGGGGTCTAAATTAGCTATTACCACTCAAGAAAGATCTTGGAATCATTCTGGATAGTTCTCTGAAACATCCACTCAGTGTGCAGCAGCAGTCAAAAAAGCTAACAATGTGAAGAACCATAAGGAAATGGATAGAAATAAGAGATTACATAATGCCACTATATGCCCACACCTTGAATGCTGCATGCAGTCCTGGTCATCCCATCTCAAAAAAGATATATTAGAAATGGAAAAGCTATAGAAAAGGGCAACAAAAATGATTAAGGGTATGTAACAACTTCTATATGAGGAGAGATTTAAAAGACCTTGGGACTATTCAGAGTGAAAAAGAGACGACTAAGGAGATATGATAGAGGTCTATAAAATCATGAGCAGCATGGAGAAAGTGAATGAGGAAGTGTTGTTTACTCCTTATCATAACACAAGAACCAGGAGCCACCCAATGAAATTAATAGGCTACAGGTTTAAAACAAACAAAAGGAAGTACTTCTTTATACAACGCACAGTCAACCTGTGGAATTGACCCAATATATGCTACCTTATGTTCTTAACTTTAGAATATATGGTATAGAATTAATATCAGCATTATGTGTGGTGTCACAGTACTTGTGATGGTCAACTTTCGCACAGTGTTGAACCTGACAACACCTTTATAAAGTTAAGTATTGTTCTCATTTTACAGGCATAAGCAGTGAGGGTTTACTTGCCCATCACTGGTCACACAGTAAGTGGCAAAACTGGGACAATACCCTAGATTTTCAACTCTTAACCCTGTGCTTAATCCATTAAACCAAGTTGCTTCTCCTGAGGACTTGAATAAGTGTTGAAGTCTTAATACTTACTGAAATATAGTTTAAGCCTGCCATGTTGGTTCATAAACAAAAAATAATGGGGTCCCAATGTAGAAATAAAATTAAATTATTTTAGGGAAAAAGTTAAACAGCACTAATTTAAAAAAAAACCCCACAGGATTTTTATATGGCCATTTTTGTTAATCAGAAATTCAAATAAAAGATCTTATGAGAAAATCTGAAAAGATAGTCTCTTGGATACCTGAAACCTGGCTGCTTCTGTCTTAAGTAGGCATATAGGCCCAAAATGTTTGGCTGTATTACTAACCTCCATTCTAGCAAGTTATTTAGAGAAACAAAACTTAGTTAAGATATTTAATTGACTCGTGAAATCTGTTTGAACACCAAGAACAGTAAAGAACAAATACTGTAAAACGTGAAATTAAGGCATCAGATTAACTTTTCACTCTCAGTGCCTCCGGCTGACTAGTTCAAAATTTAATTTCTGGCTATTCAGCCCAAGCAGTAAGAACAATAATCATCATTGGAATATATGGATGTTTGTAAAGGAAATAAAATTCTTGTACCATGCAATGAAGTTCTTTCACACTTCTGCAGTAACCTGAAAAACCTATACTCCACACTCATTCTACTCCCATGTAAAAACAATAAAATTACTTACGTAAACATATGACTATACAAAATACATATTTATTGCATTGCCATTTAAAACAGCATTAAAAAGACTGGAAATGACCAGTTAAGGCAGTTGACAAAATATTTTATTATCTTTTCAGTTCACACCCATCAATTAACAATACTGACACTGAAAAATTAAATGTGTTTCTAGAATGTATAAATTTAACTGACCCACAAGACAAAGTATTCCTGTCAATATTGTCATTAACTGAATGCAGGGTAACAGAATATTAAGTTACCTTAATTGGTTACTCCCAGTCTTCTGCAGTTAATTATTTTGTACCAGGGTAAGCTATTTTAAAAAACAGTACAACTAAAAAAAAAAAAAAAAAAGCTCAGTGATATCTGGTTGGTATAGGAAAAGACAGTAACTTATCTCAGAATAACTGGTGTTTGAGATGCGTTGTCTATGTATTCCACTCTTGGTGCACATTAACCAGAGATCAGAACCTTGGCCTCTGGCTGCACCTTAAATGTCCTCAACCACCTCTCCACCCCAAGGCATAAAAGGGCAAATGGGCCAACTACTGCTCAGTTCTTTTGCCAACCAGAATCCAAGTAACTATAGATTCAGATATAGCAGGGTAAGAAGGGCAGGTCATGGAATACATAGACAACATATCTTGAGCAGCAGTTAGTGTAAGGTAAGTAACAAGTCTTTTCTTCTTTGAGTGATTGTCCATACATACATCTTGGTGACTCAAGCAGAAACCTTGTGCTTGTGGGTAACTTGAGTCTTAACCAAATAATGACTGAAAGACCACTTTGCCAAAGCAAACGTAGGGTCTGAATGGATAGCACAGTGTTTTGTGACTATATGAATTGAACTCCAGATGGCAGCTCTACAAATGTAAGCAGTAGGGACATTTCTAAAAAGCTGCAGATGTAGTGTGATCTCTAATAGAGTGAGCTTTTATCTGGGCAGGAAAGATTAAGTTTAGCTATTTGATATTTGTGAAATACAATATGAAATCCATCTGGATAACCTCTAGGAACAAATTGCTTCACCTTTCATTCTTTTGACATAGCAATGAATAATCTAGAAGAGACTGAGTGTCTTAGTTCTATAGCTAAATAAAGAGTATGTTAATGTCCGAGTGTAACTTTTCAGAATCATTAGCATGTTTTGAAAAGTAAACAGGTAAATTAACAGTCTGATTAACATGAAAATTAGAAGTTACTTCGGATAGAAACCTTAAATGAGACTCAACAGACCATATCCTTATGAAAAATGGTAAACGGTGGGCCTGCCGTTAGAGCTTTAATTTCTCTCCCACTCTAGTAAAAGTAGTGATCAAAAACAATGTTTAAAAGGTGATGTAATGAACATGTAGCTAACAGTTCAAATGGGGGACCCACCAGACCAGTTAACATCATGTTAATTTCCCATTAGGGAAGGAGGTCTCAAATTTGAGGGAATACATGTACTAATCTCTTTAGAAACCTAGACACCGTAGAGTGTGAAAATATTCTGTGCTTTTGAATCTGCTGATGATAGGCACATACAGCTACTAGGTGAACTTTTATAGAACGAATTGAAAGTTCAGATGATTTCATTGAGAGGATGAATGGAAAAGTCCATTAGGAAGGGTGAGGTATGCTGAGGTTCTGTCCAAATGGTAAATCTTTTCCAGTTGGCATTGTAGGTCAATCTTGGAGTCCTTCCTTCCTACTATCAATCAA